TCTGATTTCCTCATACAATCACAGCTCTATTAAATAATCAGAATAGGGCTTTGCTATCCTTTGTTTTGGAAGGTACACTAAGGAACCACCAAAATTTGTTGGGTAATTGTTTAGGCTTCTATATTAGGTGTGCGTGCGACAAAGTACAGAGGTTCATGGCGAGGTCAGAGGCAACTTGAGCTGCTGCTACCCCTGGAGACCAATCAACCCGAAACCCGACTAAACCCCGCCAACCTCATAACTTTATGTATGTGTTTCGATATCAATATTGTAACTATTATTACTATTGTTATTATCGTTAATGATAATATCTATTATGCCATCGCCCCACCCGGTACGTCGCCGGGGAACACCGGGTTGAAACCTCCAGCTCGAGCGCGAGGCGATGGCGCTCTCCAGGGCCCCAGGGCGCACCCGCCCATTTAGGGCTTCAGGGGTTTAAAAAGGAATGAGAGCTTCGGGTTTAAGGGACTCTTTAGAGCTTGGGGTATGTGCCCGGTCTTTTACCAAGGCTTCTTGCGACTTGCGGAAAACACTTCTCTGCAGGATTCAATCTGGAAGGTGCTTGCACAGCCCATGTGCTTTTTTGGCAGGGAGGCCTGTACCGTGGGCTTATCCCTAAACCCTAAACCCTAAGCCCTAAACCCTAAACCCTAAACCCGAAGCCCTTAGCCCTGCTTCTTTCTTCTTTCGTGCATCTTCGGGGAGGCGCGTGCCGTAATCTGAGCCTCTTCGAACAGCCTCGCCCCGGAGCTCATGCTGCTCCAACTGGAGCTTGTTTCAGTCTCGTGGGGCCATGTAGGCCAAAGCCTAAAGAACAAGCATGCTTGAGTCAACATGAGGCTGCATGTCCAAATCAGCTGGGTGCGCTGGGGACCTGTGGACACTCGTGAGGCCGACCCCCAAGCCCTAAAGGATCCCTTAAACCCTAAAACGTCTTCCCGTTTAAACCCCTGAAACCCTAAATCCTAACTCCTTCTAGAACCCCCTCCGAACCCCTCCTTTTTGCTGAACTCCTTAGAGTGGATCTGTAAACCCTGGGCCTGGAAATGAGCCCGCGGAAGCAAGCCGCCTGGTTCGCTGTCGAGGATTCCGAGTTCAGGTACAGGACTTACGGTCTGGGGGCTTCGGGGTTTAGGGTTTTTTTTTGTAAGTGTAGTGGCCTTCTCTGTGCGATCAAGCCCGCCTCAGTTGAGGCTTACACAGGCTTAGGGTTTAGGGCTTAGGGATTAGGGTTTATTGGTTTGGGGGTTTAGGGGTTTCGGGTTAAAAGTCTTGGGCTTAAGCTTGGAGCTTTAGGATGTCCTTGGTTTGAAATGTCTTTGCAAAAATAATTTATGTAGGTTTCCGCGAACAGGTCAAAGGTTGATATATATATATATATATATATATGTATATATATATATATATTCAGGGATTTAGGGTTTAGGGATGATTTAGGGATATATATATATATATATATATATATATGTGTGTGTGTTTGTGCGCTGTCTTTGTAAGGAGTTTGTCTGCTGGGGGGGTCTTTATTTCGGAGTTCCGCTTGACGGTGGGTCGCGGCCTTTCGGGACGCGTGATCTGTTGATGATATAAACCCTGCATTATCTTAAGGGCCCTAAACTATGGCACTATGGGAATTATGGTATAATTCCTTATTCTGGGTAATGCAGGATTTATGTCATCAACCGTACCACATGCTCGTCTGGCTGTCGACTCTCCCAAGCCCATGACAACCAGGACCCTCCTTGTAACCTCCGATGAGGATATATGAGTATCTACAGGGTCTAACAGAGGGTAGATGGAGGGAGGGTCTAGGAAGCTTATTTTTCGTTTTAGGGTTAAGGCTCAAGGGCTGTAGAAACCTGACTTATAACCCTACCTGTAGCCGAAAAAACCTACCCTTTTAGGGTTCCGTACTATGGCTTCTATGTGTGGTTCCTTAAAAAGCCCACAGGTACTTTGCAAAGGATCATAAAAGGTATCCCCAATATTGAGGCCCCGTAAACAAGAAAGGGGTGTCTTTTAATCAGTGGTCTACAATGGAGCCACGAAGGACATGTGACGTTCATCGGTTTCGGCTTGTGGGCTTTATAGATCGAGTTACGTGTGACTTGCAACGAAGTCTTGCGTGCTTTCGCGAGGCCGTGCTCCCAGATTAGCTTTGCAGCGATAGTGAGAAATCCAAAACTCTGAACTCTGAGCCGTCTCGTCAGAAAGGGGGTTCATGCGCCTTCGGCCGGGGGGCTCACGGTGTGTGCTTTGGACTCTAGCTGTGGGCGTAGATTCCTAGCAGTCGAAAGTTACCCAACGAGCCGTCAACACTTAATCGTCAATGCGAAAGTACTCCAACAGAGTTCCTTACATCCCCCACAAACGATTTTTGCAATCACAAACTCAATATTTTGCCTATCACCCTCACCTAAATCCAAAATTCACCGGAAATCCTGCATTTCCCAACCTGCGGACCTGCGACTTCTCAACTCTTAACCAGTCGAGCCCAAACGAGCGCCCCACCATTGGCCGCCGTGTTGTCCGCAATTCCTTCCAGAGGCCTGAAAACTCAAAAGTTATTACAAGTATACAGTATATAGTAGTATCATTAGTCGTACTATTACTGAAATATTTTGCTAGATTACTATTTCCGTAAACTCTTCTTCTTATTATCGTTGTTATTCTTGTTGTTTTCACTTCGATATGTGAAAGCTGTAGGTGGAATGGCCAAGGTAGGGCTTACGGGTTCAAGGTACCCAGAGCCGGACCGTCCTTAGGCCCTAAATGCCTACTACAGGAACCAGATACGTACACCTGTTTGAAGGTCTAGGGTTTCGTGTTTAGGGGGACAAGAACAAGAGGGTTCACATATATTTCCACACTAGAATGAGAGTTTATAAGCTGAAGCAACATTGACAGGAGGGCTTGCAGAGGCTGGACTGTCGAAGTATGATTGCGGCCACTTCTCGCCGTCTTGGAAAAGCATGCCTGCGATCCCTAGTGGATGCACGGTTATGGTCTGGGCTGCCCAACTCGCTCAAAGTGTCGCGAACACAGGCTTCCTAAAAGCGCGTCTGTAATCTACGGGGGCTCTAGTACACTATAATCATGTAAAGGGGGAAATGGGAAGTATTACTCGCTGTTCCAATCCTTGTATGAACGGAAAGAGGGTTTGCGACACCTGCTAGAAAGTTCTTGCTTCCCCGTGTAGCAAAGTTCCCTAGCATCCCCAACTAAACTCCCGAGAATTTAAGGCAGGCTGCACCATGCTGAAGGCAACAGGAATCAAAAGCAGCACGTGGCGCATGTGTTGAAGTTATGTCTATGCTGCGGGGGCCATTGTGCAGTCGTAGAACCTTGTAACAGACAGGAAAAGCCGCAAGGAACTTATACCAGCCCAAGCTTAGAACCGTTTTGTTTTTTGAGACTCGAAACCCTGAAGCTGTAAAGCCTACATGAAGCCTCCCATACAATATTCTTTCTTAGCCACTCCAATCTGCCGAGCCCCGTGCGGTGTGGATGTGAGCCAAAGCTGCGCCAGGAAGCTCGACGTCCTGATTCTATAAGCCCAGTTTACCCAAACTATATAGGAGAAACACAGAAGACAGTACAGGGATGATAAGAGGATAGTTATTTCCCTTTCTGTGTTAGGAGTATGCGGGGCGCATCTTTGGAGCACCGTCATGCCTCTTGCAATATGAGTTTGAAAGCTTTCGTGCGAGACTTTTCCGCATCTTCTTGCATCATGCTGAGGCTTACTGGGAGGCGTCAAGCACGGGAGCTGATCGCGCTCGGAGATGATGGCCAATTTTCGTCATATATGGTGTGCCGCTACTGCTGCTGCTGCTGATGGTGGTGGTGGTGGTGGCCGTGGTGAACAGTTCCCGCAGGATTACTAAGTATGCCTAACCCCACTTTCTCAAATTATTCTAAGTGTTTCAGACCATTTGGTGTTTGCAGCGTGCTTTCCTTCATCTTCGGGTGGGGTAGCGGTCTTTCAAGTGACCGAGCTCCCCACGGCGCACTGGGTAAGAAGTTGAAGGTGCTGGTGACCTGAGCTCTTGGCTGCTTGCTGGACCCTACGCCCAAATGAGTTTGAACCACCCTAATCGCTTCCTCCACGTAGTAAGCACCCCCTAATAGTAAAAACACATTGGGGCAAATCCTCCCGATATCATCCCTGCCATTAAAAATTCTGAAGTAGGGGAGAGTCTCGAGGCTCCAAATACCCTGGGAGCACAGTAAGAGCAAAAGCAAAAGCAGGAGTTAGAGCAAGAGCAGGAGCAAGAGCAAAAGCTGAGCATCAGCAAGAGCAGCAGCAAGAGCAAAGCAAAAGCAAGAGCAGAAGCCAAGGCGAGAGCAACTGCAAGAGCAGGAGCATGCGCAAGAAACGCAGCAGAAGCAGGAGCAAAGCCAGCGCGGGAGCAAGAGCCAGAGCAGGAGCACGACCCCTCAAAAAAAAAACGTGATCCCGAAAGTCTAAATTCCTAGACGCATGACACACTGATATACCGAAACTACCCGTTGCCGATCTTAGGCCGGTCTTGCTGTGGCTTCCTGGCCCAAGGCTCATAAAGAAATCCCTATCAACGGCCGCAATGCTCAGAATAAGGCTTTCGGGTGCAGTATAGTCTAGTATAATAGCATATAGCTAGCACAGTATAGGACGGGAAAAAATCAGTAAGTGATAGCATAGCATTGCATGATACTGTGTTGTGGAGTACAGTATAGCACAGTAGAGCATACCATGACATCGGATACGATACCAGAGCATAGTATAGTGTAGTACAGTATAGTACAATCTAGTTTTCGCATAGGTCGTAGTCGGAAACGTCAGAGAACAGTATCACTAGTCATTCAAGCATCTACATTAGACCCTAAAGCCTAAACCCTTGCTGGCTGCGGCGTAAAAGGCTTAGCAGGATCTTCGGGTTTCCTGATTCAAGGTTATGAGGCTTGGCGTTTACACTTTGTGAGTTTTAGAATTCGTTGGGAGTCTAGTCCCTAAACCCTAAACCTTTTGCTTCCGACCTTTAGCACTTTCGTGGCGTTGAGGGTCTTAGCCACTGGGGCCCCGGCCCCGCTGGTGTGCAAACCTTGCGGAGGATCTTTCGGGCTTCTTTAGCTAAGCCCCAAACCCTCAACCCTACCTTCACCCCAAAGAACCTACCTTGTTTTAGGAGTTATACCACGAAACTATAAGCAGAAGGAACTTTAAAAAGGCAGGTTTTTGGGGGTCCAGGTAAACCCTAGACCTTAGTTTGGGTTTTAGAGACCAGGTTTTCGGATTCGTGGTGAGGCCTCGGGGCTTCCACTTGTTGAATGCGGAGGAAAACGCGAATTGGCTTCGGGCTTTGCACGTCGGTGTTTTGGAAGGCGCTCCCCCTGTGAATCCAGAAACCTAATGTAGGGGCCTTAATATTTTTAGAGCAGGGTTTTGGGGTATGTTGTACAATATCTATAAATAAGGAACCCCCAACATAGTATAGGCGATTATAACAAGGCCCCTATATTACTGTGTTGTGAATAGGAAAGCCCCACAACTCTGGGTTCTGGGTGATCACCCATGATGTTGCGAATTTTGAGCCATGAACCTCCAAGAAGGTTCTGAGTAAAACCCCTCAGGCCAAAGGTCGAATTTATAGCGGCCCGACCACACGAGTAGGTTCTGGTAGCTCAACGGTGGACCTTTTCACCAAAACACGCAAAAGAGATGTAACGTACAAATCCAGATAATCAGATAGCTACCAATATTCATCACCCTTTAGGGCTCCTTGGTTTTATATACAAAAAATACCCCAAAGCCCTTTTCAAAGTCGTAAGGCCCTTATACTGAACCTATACAGTTATCTCCTTATAGAGCCCTTAAATCACAGGAGTCCTATCCGAATCATTACGGCCCTATGCTAAAGCCGGCCTTGCAAGGGCCTCGCTGCGTGATCATCCTCCTCCATAGGACTTACTTAGAGTTTATGGTTTCGGGTTTAGGGTTACAGTCGCCCCGGGTTTTGCTTCAGGGGCTTCGCGCATATGTAGGGGCCTGTTCCCCAAACCCTAAACCCTGACTTAATAACTAGAATAAGGTATCGGGGTACATTATAATATGGATACAGACTTGCAGCCGCTTAAGGCTTAGGGTTCAGAGTTAGGGGGCACCATTTTGGGGTTTCGGGTTTCGGGCTTTGGGGGTTCAGCCTCTTGGCTCAGCATTCTGGGTTTTCGGGTCGTCTGTAGGCTGGGACTTAGTATTATCTTGTTACGAGTACTGTTACTACTAGTACTATTCGTATCTGTATCAATGCTAGTATTACCCTCGCTCTAGATTGCCGGGTGCCATGGTGCTCAGGTTGTGAAAAGTCACCCTGTGGCTATGGCTTTCTTGCTCATGGATCTTGCTTCGAGGTCTGGAGCGCGGTCGTGTTTAGGGCCTCCCGTTTTGGGTTTAAGGGGCGAAGATTGGAGGGTTCAAGCTTGAGGGTTGGGTTTTAGGAATTGCGCTGGTATGCAGAGTTGTTCTACGTCAGGCCGCATATGCGACTGGATCCTGATTTCCAGCAAACCAAGTCCTTTTATTGCCCGTTTAACCTATTATGGAAGTCTCTGGGCAGTCCCTACATTCGTTCCGGGAAGTCTTGAAGCAGCACTAGTTCTCTCCGAAGGTGACTCTGAAGTCTCTGAAGGAGCTGCACTCTTGGCTGTAGCTGCTGCACCAGTGGCTTCAAATGCACCAGTAGCAGTAGGTGCATTCGTGGCAATAGTGGCACCTGCGGTTACCGACGCCGGAGTGACACCATTTATTGCTTGATATGATCGGGACCGCGGCGACGTTCTCCAGCAATGGCTCAAGCCGACGATCTAGGGTCTGGGGATTTCTGTGCTTTTCAGGTTTATCAGGCTTTTAGGGCTTGGGGATTGTCGGGCTTAGAGGTAATGTCCCTGCTTCGATTCAAGGCTGAGGGCAGTATGGCTTGAGGGTGTAGTTGTAGTTTAAGTGTTGAAGAATTGCACGGGCTTCGGCGCAGTCAAAGACGTGCCCATTCCAACAAGGCCGGCAAAGAAGCCTGTCTTCAGCCGCGGGTAGGCCTGACATCCTTCAACCCCAAACACCGCAAATACCTTTAAGCCCGTACCCCTACAGGCCGCAAACCTCACTGGACCTATAGGGTTTAGGGTTTAGGGTTGAAACCTCCAAAACCCTGAACCCACAACCAGAAAGGTGCCTAAACCCTAGGTGCTGTGAGCCGTAAACCCTAAAACCTGTCCTTGGAGAGAGGCTTCGTCTTCGACGCAGACTTCCTCAGAAAGTCGGCTTAGGGCTTCGGCATCTGAACTAGGGGCCGTAAACTTAGACTACGGTTTCGGGGCATGTTATGCTAGAGCGATATAATTAGGGACTCAAACGGGATGGCACTACCATTAACATTCCGACTCCTTCATGAGCAAGCCGTAACATCATGATATCCAATACTGCAGTGCCTGGACGCTTCTTGCCGGATCACTCCAACGAATGTCGCGTCCATTCTGTAAGCGCATTCGCAACAAGTCGAACTTCGAAAGTAAATCATTGAACGGCTCTTGAAGCCCACCATCACATGCCGGTTCACGCCGCAGCTTCGATGTCGTGCAGGTGCGATTGTAATTAGTGGCCTTTCCGCTTCATTTTGTAGTCCCACACTCCGATATAGACTCTATGTACTTTGCGGCGCTTGGGGCATAGTTTCTTAAAAGAAACAAGAAACTCGTGGGCACCATCCTCCTCCGTGAGAAGGAGTATGTTGCACCACCCAGCTGCTGACTTACACCATCTTACATTTCTACGACCCCGTAACCCCTTCTTCAACGTTTATTGTTGAGACCTCTTTTCCATACCGCGTTTGGTCAGGAATGAAGAACGGTTTAGGGCTTTGGGTTTAGCCCTAACCCTAGCCATCCGACAGGTGCAAGAAGTCCGATAGTGCAACCCACCGCCCACCGTCCTTCTCGCGACTGTGTACCAAGGTCAAGCAGGAGGGGTGCTCGCTTTCCCAGACTACTGACAGTGCCACAAGATTGACACCAAACTGGAGGTTCTGCTTGCTTTGGGCTCTATCCTCAACCCTATGGGGGCCTAAATCAATCTGTTTCTTCGGGGCATACTATGCTACAACCCCCCCTCCCCCAAAAAAGCTATTCTAATCACTAAGGTACATATATGAAACCCGCACAGTAATCTTTGTACTTACCCTTATATTTTCCCTTCAAGCAAGCCCTTGCTGATTATTCCAGCCCGACTTACCCCTACAGCTTCATGTGCCTGTAAAGTATATTCTTCAGGCTTAAAAGGGGTTCCTCTATAGGTACTTCAATGCCTAAGCACATATAGTAGAAAGGTGCATGGAGTCTAGGGTACATTGCACCAGAAAGAGCTCCCACGACTACTTGGAGCCGCACTGGGCTTTCAGCGCATGCCCGCTGGCGCTCTTGGAGCCACGATGCTCACCTTTGCGGCTTAAGATTTAAACCCTAAAACATAAACCCTAAACCCTAAACCCCTTAACCGTTTGGGGTTTGGGGTTTCGGGCTCAGGTCCTCTTGATTCACGGCTTACCACGATACTCGAAAGCATCCTGACTAGAGGCAGTGTGGTCGCTGATCCTCTGTATTTCGGGTTCGCTGGGGCGTGGCTGGGTTTCTGGGGTTCGAGGCTTTCTGCTTTGAGGCTTTAAGGCCTGTAGAGTTTAGGGTAGGTGTAGGGCTTCGGATAACACGGTTGTTGCACTCTAGCTCTGGGCAACAGGTTAGCTGCTGAGCGGTTTGCGTGCCGTCGACATTCGGGCACTATCTGAGCCTTCATACTTATGTGTCTTATCTGTATCACTCTCGATGTCCTTGTCGGTCGCCCATTTATTACAACGACGACGTCGAAGAAAGGTTGAACCTTGAGTCATAGCAGGATTTTATACATCCGACAACGTTTAAAGGTTACCCTCCTATCTGCTCAGACTACGAGATATGATTGCGATCATCGTTGCTGCCGGCTCTTGCAAGTAGTAGATCTGCTACGAGTGTTGATGGACAACCTGCTGAACCCTCACAACTCACAAGCAGTTCTGCCAAATTCTTGACTATGGAGAGTGCCGGATCGTACTGAACTCTAAATCCAAAGTCACCACAGCCCCAAACCCTAAAACCCTAAAATCAACAGACTGGCCGTGATGTCTGCTTCGTTTCGTTGTCCCTGCCTCGGTGGTCATCGGAGTCCTGACATGGAGTACGGCCGTATGGCTTTCATATTCTTAGCTGCTCGAGTTCACAAGCCCCGACATGTTAAGCTTTGAGCTCTATAGAAGAAAAAGTTTGAAGTTTCAGCTCTATACAGGACAATAGTACTCACAAAAATTGTAGTTAATACCAGTTCACCTATTAAGTACTGAGGATCCGTCATCAACGACATCTTATCTCCGTTTCTTCAGATCCTCCTTCGAGGGGTATCATAGTTATTCTTAAGGTTCGTTATACCGAGGATGCTACCATTCGGTGTGTGTATATTGGGGTCCGCGTGTTCTTGCATATAATGGAGCCAACCAGTTTGTTCTAATGTTGAAGACCCTAGACTACAACCCCATAGAAACCTTTCTCTCCAGAACCCTTACATATCCTATTTAAGACTCCTATAGCAGAGCTCTATTCCAAATATGAAGGCCCCTCGTAAGGCAAACCCGAAGAAACGTATCCTGTTCAGTCTCCCAGGGGATTCAAAAGCCCTGGGATTTTCATACACCGAAAAAGTTAAAGATGGTTAAAGGCTACCTACTCTACCACCCAGAGCCCTTATAGAATCCCTTTAGTCTAGAGCCCTACACCCAAACCCCCTCCAAGGAACTCCTTCAAGGAACACCACAAAAATTGAAAGGCTACCTGCTCTACTTAGCAGAAGATGATCATACAAGTAGCTACTTTAGTTACGTAGGCTTCTAGCGTACTTGCACCCTTGAGGAAATCTACCTACTCTACTAAGCGCCCTAAACCCTAAACCCTAAACCCTAAACCCAAGGCTAACTACTCTACTCAGCAGAAGATGGATCGGGCCTCGAGCCGGGCAAACTTGAGCTTCATGTTTGCAGGCACGACCTCGACTTCTGGGGAGAAGACTACGGTTTCATAGGGTTCCTGTAAAGGGCCTTGGTAAGAAGGACCGTGAGGGTGTAGTCTGGGGCGGTAATAGTTCGTATGTTGGATTGTTACATAGGGACTGGAAGGGCTGGTATTACTGATCCCACCATCTCTACGGTGCTTATGGCTCGTGTTGGAAGGTCTCGATCGGGCCAGTCGGAATGGGGTGCCTTTGATTTATGGCGACAACAAGGCTTTAAGGTTCTAGGGTTTAGGGTTCCGGCAGGATCCACAGACCTTCGGATGCCAGCATAAGGCCTGCCTACGTAGAACAGGGCTTTCGGGGGCAGACAAAAGTAGTATTACAATAAAGGTCCCTGAGGAATCATCTTGGTGCAGTAGTTGCTCGGGCTTCTAAAGTGCACGCCAGACTTTGAGCGGGCTGCGTTTGGGGCGGCTCTCCTGCCAAGCCCGAAACATAGGAGCCTTCATAATCAGAATAGGGTGTGGGGACATTGTCCTATCTTCAAGATAACGAACCCTAAGAAATCGTATTGTTCAATACAGAAAGCCTTCTCCTACCCTTTTTAAGTGCCTTCATGGTCCTACATTATCCTGTTCAGAGTCCTTTTTGCACAGCCCACACAGGATTCCCCGGGCGGATCTGCATCTAAGGGCCGGATTGAAGCTAATTATCAACGCCTTTACAGGGGGCCCTGTTATTAAGCCCAAGACTACCAGTAAAAGGGGTCTTGTTCTAGAACCCTATACTACCCTCAAGGGTTCGGCTTACGGCGTAAACCATGAACCCGAGCTTCCTATAGAAGTATACGAGGATCCTGTTTCCGGATTGGGCTCCCTAGGCAAAGCCCCAATCGCCTCCTTTGTCAAAACGTTGAAACCTAAATGCTAAATTCTATACAGACTCCAAACCCCCAAACCGAAAACCCTAAACCCTCTAAACCCTCAAGCCGAAAACCCTATAGACTATAGACCCGAAGCCTCTAAACCCGGAACTCTAAGCCCTAGCCATATGACCCGAAAGCCCACACACCCAACCCTAAACTCCGAAAGCCCCAGCTCCGAATCCGAAAGCCCAGACGCCCTAAACCCACCAGCTGCCTGAAATTCTCAGCACCCTATAACCCCTAAACCCCTAAAACCCTAAACCCTACCCTAAAGCCCCTAAAAACCCAAAGCCCTAAAGCCCCTAAACCCTAAATTCTAATAGGCCCTAAACTCCTTAACCCAAATTAAGCCTAAACTCCTAGCCCCTAAACCCCTAAACCCTGATTAACCCTAAACTCCTAATCCCTAAACCGACCCTAAGCCCTAATTAACCCTAAACTCCTAACCCCCTAAACCCTAATTAACCCTCAAACTCCTAACCCCGAAATCCTAAACTCCTAACCCTTCAACCCCTGAACCCCTAAACCCCGAACCCCTAAACCACTAAAGACCTCGAAGCCTAAGCTTCCAGCCACTTCAGGCGAGCAGTTGTCCCAGGTCTCCTGGGGCCCAGGGCGATGTACCGAAGGTTGCCGTGCTACTTAGGGTTTAGGGGTTTAGGGGTTTGGGGGTGGTGGGTTTAGGGCTTGAGGGGTTTAGGGGTTAAGGGGTTTTTGGGTGTTAAAGGGTTTAGAGGCTAAGGGATTGTTGGGTTTTGGGGGTTAAGGGTTTAGGGGCTTTGGGGCTTTGGGGGTTAAGGAGGGTTTCAGGGGTTTTAGGGTTGGGGTGAACACAGATCGCTTGTGGCAATGCCACTGGATGGGCAATCTAATGCCATTCGGATCGGCTCCTAGTCTCTGCCTTTGCAACAGCGATAGGTCCATGTACCCACATAGTATAAATCTATACCTATATCTATATCTATATCTATATCTGTATCTATATCTCTATCTATCTATCTATCTATCCATCTATCTATCTATCTATCTATCTATCTGTCTATCTATCTATCTATCTATCTATCTATCTATATATTTTTTCTTGTAGATATATACTTCGACCTTTACGTAGTCCCTATGCAAGTACCTTGGGACCCAAGTATATACCATTTGAGTACATGGGCATGGACCCACAGGGGAAGGATGAAAGGAAGTTGGACTTTCATGAATAACCCCAAGTCACGAGAACCTGACAACCTGAGAGGATTAGCAATGGAGAAGAGAAGCTCAGCGCTTGAAACCACATTTTCAGCAAACTTACACTGTCCCTGAAAAGGCCCTACAGTGGGTATTAATCCTAAACCCTAAACCCCAGGCCCTAAACCCTAAATCTTAAGCCCTAAATCCTAAACCCTAAATCGTTATAATGTAGAGCGCGACTTCTCCTTGTCACTTGTTGGCGGGAGGCTGGGCTCTCGACTGTGTCACGGAAGCTGACACTAAACCCTAAATCTCCTATACTATGAAATCAAGGCTTAGGGTTTAGGAGTTTAGGGGCTTACTACTATGAAATCGGGGTTTAGGGCTTAGGGGTTTAATACTTTGAGATCAAGGTTTAGGGTTTAGGGCTTAGGGGTTTAATACTGTGAAATCAAGGTTTAGGGTTCAGGGTTTTAGGGGTTTAGGGTTTAAGGTTCAAGGGGATTTAATTTGCCAGTGCTTTCTAGTATAAGGTCTCTTCACTTTCTAGCCGGGTGCTGGGGTCCATGAGCTGGTACATAAATAAGGGGCTACATGGGGAAACGATGACGACTTATTCCGACACCTACATGCAAAGCCAAGAAAACCCACAAAACCCTGAGGAACCCTGATAAGGGAGACTATGACTAGTTATTCCAAGCCCTCGACGAACCGCGAGGTATAGTCTTGAAGCTTGCCTTATCAAGGGTACTAGTTATTCCGGCCGCTACAGTGGACCATCAACCCTAAACCCGACACCCAACGGAACCCTAAGGAATAGTGTTACTAATTGTTCCGACCCTCTGTTGCCCCGATCCCTTCTATTTTGCTGTCTGTGGCGTCTATTCCCGCCTGAAGGAGAATTTCCTCGTCTGTCAGATCTGCCTCACCCGACTTCGCTACAGGGGTCTTCCGCATAAAGCTAGTCCTGATTTAATTAGGGGCCTTCACGACTATAATAAGATCTTGGGGTATATTACATCATACGTAATATAGGTGTCTATCAGGGCTGTTTTCGGAGGGCTCAGTATGCGGGCTTGCATGGAGATAACGAATAGGGAGGCATTATGACATAAAGAGGCAGGACCATCGTCGCTGCTTACTCTAAGGGCCTTAAGAAACAGCATGGGGTCTTGTAAGGGCTTCTAGCAGGCCTTTAGAAGAGTATCTGTAATAATGATTTATAGGTGTCGCAAACCACCTCACAAATTGGAGCAGGGCCTTGTGATACATAGTACAACGATCTGGAGGTCATAAGGAGGCGTCGCCAAGGACATCTAGGGTACTCTTTAATGGCGATGTATTACAAGGCTCTAGGGCTTTAGGATGCAGGCCCAACGACCCGATTCAATAGAAGATCTATAAGCCGTTTATTTTAAGGCTTTAGAGTAGAGTCTGAGTATAGGGTACAACGCCCCCAAGATGCGCTTCGATAGCAGCCTTAGCAGCTCCAATAGTGTGCACTTGGCCTCAACTACGGTGTCGTTGGGGGGTGGGTGTTCTGCTCAAGTTCATGGCTGCGGGCCCTAAGCCCTAAACCCTAAACCCCTAAATCCTAAACCCTTAAATCCCCCTGAACCCTCAACCCCTAATGCCTTCAAGTGAATCCTGTAAGGGAATCCACCCCCCAGTAGGGGCTATGGGGCTTTGTGGCAACCCTATACCGGAAGCTTACTACTGCAGAACCATAAACACACTCATGGGACATACCGTCATAATGTAAGCTGCATTTAATGCTGGTCGGGAGAATCACGACCACAACAAGGGAGTGCAATCGTCCTGACCAAAGCAACCGTCCTTCTCGTGGTATCCATTTCACGCCCGCGGCGCCAAAGAACCGCCCGAGACCCTGAACTCAACAATAAGCTACGAAAACATAGTCTCTACACGTTCTATATTAGGGTTTACTATATGAACACACACAAAAATAGGGTATGGTAGTTGAAGGTAGGCTGGGCACACCCTTCACCCTAAATCCTAAACTATGGGCTTGGCCTTATGCTGTCGATGCCAGCCGAAGGTGTCCCCTCGCTTTACGAGCGCCACCTTCCCGGAGCTCAGCATCTAGGTTTCAAGGTCTAATTTTAGGGGCCTTAATAATTAGAATAGGGTTTGGGGGGTATACTATGCCATAGTTATAATAAGAACCCCCCCAAATAGGTAGTTAGTAAGGCCCCTATATCAGGGTCTATGGGCCACTGCAAGGGCTCAAAACTGTAAGGAATCCATAGGCGCTTCGAGATAAGGCTTCAAGGTTCAAGGGGTTGGGATTAGGGTTTACAGTGTCTACGAGCAGCTGGTTTACCGGTTAAGTAGTTTGGGCGTTGGGCTTATGGGTTGCGGGTTTGCAGGTTTACAGGCCCAGGAGTTCTTGCGGGTTTCAGGTTTCGGGGATTACGGGTTTGGGTTTTGCCGAGAAGACGGTGTAAGTTCATGCTGCATCAGAGCACCCTTGCCCTAAAGGTCATAGAATATTTGGATGCCTGCTTGAATCCTTCTCCACGAAACCGTGATCCGCACAGCTCAAACCCAAGGCCTGACGACTTATGATGAGATGCCCAGTGGGCCTCCGATTAATGAAGGGGAGGGTCCTTTCTGCAACTTTGGAGCTCTTCCTTTAAGATAGGGGCCGTCTTAGTTGGAACAGGGTTTTGGGAAATATTCTAGTACAAGTATAATAGCGAACCCCCACAACCCTAGTCTAATTATCAAGCCCCCTACACAGACTCCCGCTTCCCCTTCAATCCACAAGCGAAGGGAGACCTGTCGGACAAAAGACGCGGCCTAGAACCGATCGTGGCCTAGGACTCAAAAAACACAGCCCCCTTGTAGTTAAAGCCGCGATGGTAGAATCGCACGTAAATCAACAGTAAAGGGAACCCATATGGCCCATATTGCATTCGCAAATACTACACTCTAATTAGGTAAGGATGCCTCAGGGAATAATCTTCGCACAAATAAACCGACTAAACTCTATCACACTAAGCCCTACAACGGCAAACCCCAAAGCACGAAAACCGCAAACCGCGAAACCCAAACCACGAAACCCTAAACCGTATAGGGTTTAGGGATTAGGGTTTAGGGTTTAGGGTCTAGGGCGTATCACACTAAGCCCCAAACCCTAAACCCAGAGAAACTCAGTCTTTTCTCACCTCGAGCATGGGCCCAGACGGGGCAACTTCATCCTGCCCGTAGGGGTTTAGGGTTTAGGGGGTTTAGGGGGTTTGGGAAATTAGGGTTTAGGGTTTGGGGTGATGTTTAGGGTAATTTGTGGGGTGAGGGGTTACAGTGCTTCTATGTACAGGGTTCACACGGGTTCCAATAAACTGCGGTCTTTTCGGGGAGTCAAGGGGTTTAGGGATTCGGGGTTTGGGGTCTAGGGGTGTGGGGGTTTAGGTTTTCGGTTGTCGGTTTGGGCTTGGTGTGTGTTTAAGGGGTTGATGCTGTGTGCTTGCAGGCGGGTGCGCTTTGCATACATAACACGTGCACCCAGAATAGGCATACCTACATGCACACAGGCTTGTATGTAGCTATTCGATGCTGCGCCCTGCTTTGCTATTAATTTGCTATGCTATGCAACGCTATGTCAGGCGATGCCACAAGTGTGTTGCACGTTATTCTGCTGGGCCTGCTAGGCTACTATGAAGTGTTACAAGAGGTGCTTTGCCAAGCTATGCCCATGCCGTGTTGTGATGTTTTGCCATATGCTGTAATATATTAGGAAATGATGTTCTATGTTTCAATATGCTGTGTTATGCTGTGGCTTGCTATGCTGTGCTACGCTATGTTGTGTTCTGTTATTGAGCGGGCTTTGGCTGTTGAATGTGGCATTTAGATTCTGGTGCTGTGAGGGTTGAAGGTGCTGAAGGTACATTCACGCCCGCCTGCGTGCATTCATGCATGTGTACATACACAACATATACACACATCCACACCCGCACCCGCCCACCCCCAAACACACCCTCGCGTGCAAGCACATGCTCGAGTAGCGCATTGTAAACGCGATGTGACGACGAAGCAAAACACAACACAGCGTGGCTCAGCACGGCATAGCAGTGCAAAGCTTCACAACGTAGCTCACGCCTGAAGAAAATCTCATTCCATAAAGTTTGAGCATGTTGAAAGAAGATGAAAACAGCTTTCAAGTCCCTATCGACTTCAATGAAACGTCAAAATAAAGACACTCTTGCCTCAAAGCCCTGACAGAACCCCCGCAGAGCTCTAGTGGGTCACTTAGATCCCCCCAAACCCTATTCTAAGTACTAAGGCCCCTATATTAACACGAAACCCTGAAACCTAAATCCTAAAACCTGACCAACAAAATCCTACGAAAAACACTCTGAAACGAGCCGTCCTCAGGAATAGCTCTCACAGTCGGCCGTGGTGGGTAAAGCATCACCGAGGCCTTCAGCAACTGGAGAGTTCTTCGATCCAACATACGCTTCTCTTTAGGGGTTAATGTTAATCGGGTCTCTTTCGCGCACAGTGCCAGTACAGACTCGAATAAGGAGTTTGTAGGGGCATACGCAAAAAACGTTTGTTTGTGTTTGTGAAGGTCATGGTAGGGTTCAGGGCTCAGGAAGTCTCGAGACTCGTAACGACCGGGATGATTCTGATAAACTCGGGTCTTAAGAAGCAGCAAAGCAATCCAAAGCAACAAGATCAAAGAGCATGAAGGAGCTCAAAACGTTCTCGACACGTTGCCCCGGCGTGAGTCCCGCTTGGGCTCTGTGCAAAACCTACGAGGCTCAGGAGTTTCGAATGGGTGCTCGTGGCTTCAAAATGATGCTAGACTGTAGTGCTTATAGGGTTTAGGGTTTAGGGTTTAGGGATGGACCTTGTGGGATCGGCCTGGGCGAAAGATGGAGCTGGTGGTGGGGCATGCCGTCAGGTTCAGAAGCATTGTACCATGCAGCGACCACAGCACTCGCACTTCACGAACATCTGAGACCAGGCTGGCTATGTAGGGTTTAGAGTTTGAGCCCGTTTCGGGTTTAGGGCTTTGGGCTTTAGTGAAAAGAGTTCATTAAGCTGGCCGCTTCAAGATCAACGGCAGGGCGAGGTCTAAAGCTCTGGAGACCTCTTCGAAGACACGGCCAAAGTAAATGGTTCTCGAAGGGCTTCGCAGCCTGCAAAGCTTTTTGCAGGCCCCTTCAGGCACACCCGTCGTGAGCCAGAACGGAAGACGGCGAATCTGTTGAAAGCTTAGTCCACTGGGCGGCCACAGCAGGAATGCCCCGACCAGCATATGCTGAGCTGCGTTGTCGAAGACCAGGGCTTTCACTTCGTGAGCAGCTTGCATGACCTGTTGGATTGCTCTGCAGAATCGTCTGTTCGTCGTGTAGCTCCTCACCCGATGCCCACAGCGTACCGTAGAAAACCCATGAACCTCGAAAAAAACTCACCAAGCCAAAACCCTACCATTGCAAACAAAAAAAACAAAAAACACTGTCCCCCCAACTCGTGCATTTCTCGAAAGGGTCCTATAAGGTTGAGTATAAGAGCTACTATAAGGGTTTAGTGTAGAGGCCTTAATCCTTAAATCTACTATGTTTTGGGGGTTATAATATATCCCCCAAACCCTGTTCTAATTATGAAGACCCCTATATTGCACCCTTATCATAACCCTTGTAGTAGCCCTTTAAAGGAACCTATAGTACCTGCGAACTTCTACGAATTTTGGTGGTTCCTTATTATCTCTCAAACCCAGCGTCCCCAACAGCCGACAGCTCTCTGCCAACCCTTTCGCCATGCCTGCCCTGAGAGCACCAAGCATTGGCCGTGATACCAGGCCTTCCCAAGAGCAGTAGTAGAAGCAGAAGTAGAAGTAGTGGTAGTAGTCGTCGTAGTAGTAGTCGTAGTTGTTGTGGTAGTGGGAGTAGTAGTAGTGGTAGTGGTAGTGGTGGTAGTAGTGGTAGTAGTAGTAGTAGTAGTAGTAGTAGTAGCAGTAGCAGTAGCAGTAGTAGTAGTGGTGGTAGTATTAGATAGTAGTCGTCGACGGCGTAGTAGTAGTTGTGGTAGTAAGTACTAAGTAGTAGGAATGGTCGGAGTCGTCGTCGTACCATACACATAGTAGGCGGCTGACTTCAAGATGAAGAGTGAAGCGCTCAGGTTTCAGGGTTTCGGGGTTTATGGTAGAAGACCAAAAGTTGGAAGCACAGTAGCCTCAATACTTAAGAGTAATGTATAGGGAATCCCGGCACTGATTGTCCTGAATCCGGTTGGGGTGAAGGGCTGGGGTCAAGTCAAATGGCTCGGACTTCGGTGCACACAGAAATGACTCTACAGGCTTCTGGATTCGGGGGGCTGCCTGGCATGTACTGTAAGGGTTCCTGCAGAAGTTCTGCAAGGATACCATGCGGGGTTCTTGCTTTATTTAGTTGTAGAAGGGCACGACAATGGTGCCATGCGGGCTCGTTTTCGCGTTCGATAAGGCTAGAGTTAGGTGTCCTAATGTAGGGTGCTGGCAAGTATGGGAGAAGGGGCTTAGCCTTCCAAGATGTCAGAGATTGTTTCAGTGTTTACACCTTTGCCGCTGAAATCGGCTCCGTATGAAGGATCCCAGTAACAGCAGCCCCACCATCGGTACATTGAACGAAACGGAGATAAGAGTTTCTGAGACTGTACAATGTACAAACCTGAATAATTAACAACACTTTCCGTACACCTCCTTAGTGTTATTACTACACACTGTTACTTACCCTCACAAAACCCTCTTCTAATCATTCAGGCCCCTATACCATGTCTATAACCCCAAAGCTCAACATAACTCAGAACCCGTCTATCGTATGGTCCTTGGGCCCAGAAGCCTTAAAACATGAGCCCCCTAAAACCCGATCCCTTCAACCCTTGGAGCCTTAAGGCAAGAGTTTTAAGGCTTCCAGGCCCGAAACCGCAAGGGTGCCAGGCCATAACGGTTTCCAATCTGATGCGTTTCGGACTCAGGGCTGCTTACAAGGCTTCAAAGGCCGATCAGAGGGCTGAAAATCAGGCCGATAAAAGGGCTGATGATAGGGCTTAGGGGCTTGTTATAGGGCCTCAAGGGCTTCTAGGGTTTAGGCTTTCGGGTTTTGGGTCTAGGATCTTTAGGTTGCCCCACTTATAACTCTGCCAACGAATGCATCTGAAAAGATTGTTTACATTTCATAGCATTTCGGAATTGAAATTGAGGGAAGCTCCTAGATCCGAAACCTTAAAGCATGACCCCTAGAACCTAGAACGATTGTGACTTAATATAAGTGCCTTCATAGTTAGAATAGCGTTTTGTAGTGTACTGTACTAGAAATATAGTAGGGAACCCGCAAACTAGTATAGATAATGATTTAGGCCCCTATACTAACCCCTAAACCCTAAACCCCGAAAGGGGCTTCGATCCTCAGCGCAGTGCTACGCCTCCACGCCACCGAGACTGGCTCCCGGGCCAAGCTCATGAATCACTGCCTAATTAGGGTTCGGGTTCATGTGTTTGGTGGGTTGGGGCTTCGGGTTTAAAAGGGGTTTAGGCTTTGGGGCTTAGGGATCCGGGCTTAGGATTTTTGAGAGGCCGCGCTTCGGTTATGACGTGCGAAGCGCTTGTAACTTAGACGGGCGGGATTTTAAACTTCACGATGTATGTAAGGTCCTACTGCTTCTGAAACTCCTGTAAGAGCAAGAGGGAAGGTGGCAATTCGGGAAGGGGAACCACGGCAACACTACTATAATCGAAGCGACCATGGAACATCGCAATTTTTGCGGTATCGACTGCACGCATAATGGTACAAATCTGAAGACAGCTGTACAAGGAGCATGAGGTTTTGGGGTATCTGAGACGAGTACATGATGACTTTAAGGAGAACTGTTACTGACATCACACAGCAAACAGCCAGCAATGCCAACAACGATCCTCGCTCTCATGCGGCAGGCCTTTTCAACAGGGTCCAAGAATTTAAACCTTAAAGCCCATATCTAATACCCCCCAAAAACCCCCAAACCCTAAACACAAAATCATGGATTCAGGTATAATTTGAGTGCTGCCACCATACAGTAACAGTCTATAAAAAGGTTGCTATTGAGGGCTTTATATGGCTTTATTATAGGTATTATTCAACTGTTACTGAGTGGGGGCAGTATCCTAGATTGACTAGATACAACGAGGTACTGTAGCAATGTGCTGGCACATACAATCAAACACCATGATAAAATCAGCATAGGTGCAGCAATCACATGCTCTAGCCGTATGTTGATATACCTGCCTGTCAACTTGAATATGTCTTGGTAGATACGTCAGGGCAGGTTCTGCAGTGTGCCAAACTTGGCAAGTTACTGCAGTTATGTATGCCATTCTCCGTATCAACAGGCCACGATGCAGCACACATACTACAAAAGCGTTTGAAAGTGTAACATAACGGCATGCCACCAGACCTTTAAAAGTACTATACTACCTGGGTGGTTCTCGTTTTGGAACCGCCAGCAGAGTAAGTACGTCACTTTGCCAGAAGTCAGACAGAGAATCTCCAATCTACTACAACTAGACGCTGGACAGAGGTTTGAGCAGCCTCCTGCACACAATCGACACAACATCCCTAAACCCTACAACCCTAAAACCCCAAACGACCCGACTCCCAAATGCATTGAAACCCTGAAAGCTCTGGCCCCTAGAGCCCCACCTCGTATCAGGTAATATAGGGGCCCTAATAGTGAGAATAAGGTTCCTTCAAAGGGTCACGATAGGGGTTATTATAAGGGTTTGCTCTATGAGGGTTGAGTGTAGGGGCCTCAATAATTAGAAAACGGTTTCGGGGCCCATTGTACCACAAACACAGTTAAGGAACCCCTATTTAAGCCCCTACAGTAACCACAAACAACAAACACCTCCAGGGAGCACCAACGAGCACAAAGAAAACACCAAAAGGTGTTAGGTTTGGAAAAACAGGGTCTGAGATAAGTTACAAGTTTAAACATTAAATTGCATAAACCAGCCCATAACAACAAGGAACTCAACAGTGAACTGGAAGTCAATACGTGCAGTTTCAGAAAGGCTAAATTAGGGCTTAGGGCTTCGGGTCCAGACCTCGAGCCCAAATGGAGGGGCCTCAATAATTGGAATAGGGTTTGGGGATATAATATACTATACTTATAATAAGGGGCCCCCAAAATAGTAGAGGTACTTGTGAAGGCCCCTTTTTTAAATCCTAAGCCCAAACAGTTCTGAGACCCCCAGCCGACTCGGCGAGGAGCCGTCGTGCGCGGTTGGACAGGGAGCGGAGCGCCTCAGAAACTCCCAGGGATGGGCACAAGGAGGGATAGCACCAAACCCTAAACCCCTAAACCCCAAACCCAAAACCCTAATCCCAAAACCCTAAACCCAAACGCCCTAAACCCCAAAACCCTAAACTCAAGACCCTAAACCCAAAGCCCCGCAACCCTGAACCCGGCGGTAGTGTTGAGGGCTGAGGGGAGTGATGGTAGGGTTATAGAAGGGCTTTACAAGACTTTCATACGGGTCTTCATAAGTTTCAGGGGGTTTTGTGGGGCTTGAACAGTAGGATGGGGTATTCGAACTCTGTGAAATCGGGGTCTTTTCCAGAGACTCTGTCCGGGGATTCTAAAGGTTACGGTTCTGTAACTGTTGTAAGGAAGTGGAACGGATTTTGTACGGGTCGCTATCGCGTTCTATCAGGCTTGCTTAGCGGGTCAATGATTCGATGTAAATGTGATTCTTCGAAACGCTTCAGTCCTGATTCGCAAGGGTCTCTAGCTTTACATAGCTTTCCCACAAGGCTCCTATGAGGACTTCATACACACACTGGAATCCTTCGCCAGGCACTTCGAGTCTCTCGTGATAGAAGTTCAACAACTTGCATTTCAGAGGCCTAGGAGGGGTGTCGGTGCTCTTCATCTATTATACGGGCCTTAACAATTAGGTTATGGTTTTGGGGGTTCCTTCGTATAATTCTAGTGTAATATACCCCGAAACCCTATTCTAACTATGAAGGCCCCTACATTAGGCCAGACCCGGCCGCCACATGGCAGTTACATATCCCTGTGGTAGGCACTCTCGATGGGCGTGTTCTGCTTGACGATCGGCTCTACAACCACGGCCACAGCACGGAACCAGATTCTGGGTGCACGAAGAAGACGCACTTGATACTACAGGGGCCTTGATTATTGGAATAGGGTTACTTTCAAGGGTTACTATAAGGGCTTAGTGTAGCATGGTCAGCACTGCCGCTCTGACGAGCAGGCAGAATGAAATTGGCAAGGACTGTGACCGTGGTTGTGGCTTTTCAACTTTGACTCTGCGCCCTAAGCCCTAAACCATGAAATCTCACTCGTTCCGATGATCATCGCCAAGTCTTCAACCTAAACTCTAGACTCTATGCTGCAAAACTTACACCCTGAACTTCTAAAGCGTAAGCCCCACACCGCAAACTCTAAACCCTCCGAACCCTCCTGGGCGGCCCCACTGTGGCACGCGCCCGATCCAGCGCCGACAGGACCTGGGGACAGACTTGACTGTCCCTCCTTAAGATACCCAGGAACCACGGAATAAAAGATGCTCCCTTGCTGGTACTGGCTAGTTGTATCCTGACACCACAAGGCGGCAAAAAGGGACCACTGCGAGACCTAGGAAATTGATTAGGATACATCGGTTTTAGGGTACTTTAAAGCCAAGCAAGTATACTCATTATCAGTTATCAAGAGTCCCAAGTACTAAACCATAAATATAGAACCTCAGCCCAACAACTCCTAAACTCCAGACCCCAGGCACTAAGCCCAAAGCCTATACCCCAAACACTAAACCCCAAACCTTTTGATCATAAACCTTCCGACCTCCGATCGCTCTGCTTCTGACAAAGGCGGCCTGCAGGGAAGGGCGAAGGGTCAAAACGCCGGGCTTGTTAGGGTTAGGGTTTGGTTTAGGCTTTAGGGTTTAGGGTTGATAGTAGTTCATGGCTATAGGGGTTTAGGGTTTAGGGTATAGGGTTTGGTTTCGGCTTTAGGGTTTAGGGTTTAGGCTTCAGGGTGAAGGGTTTATAAGGCATTTAGGGTTTCGGTTTGAGGGTTTTGGGTTTGGGGGTTCAGGGTTTACAGGTGTCAGGGCTGATAGGGTTTATGGGGTTTCAGGGTCTCAGGGGTTTGGAGGTTAAGCTGGGGAAGGGCTCGGGGGTTCAGAGTTATAGAGGGAGTTCAGGGCTTCCTAGGGATAGGGGTTTTAGGGTTTAGGGTTCAGAGTTTAGGCTTTAGGGTTTAGGGTTCAGGTTTTAGGGTTTAGGGTTCAGGGTTTGGGGTTCAGGGTTTCGGGCTAGGGGGTTCAGGGTTTAGGGCTTGGGGGCTCAGAGTTAAGGGTATCACGGATGCTGGGGTCTCGTAGGGTGTCTAAGCTTACAGGCTCTACACTTTCGGGTTGGAGGTTTGGGTAGGTCCATGGGCCGATTCGGCTTACAAGGTATACTTAGACTTAGTTCCTGAGTTCATAACCCCCAAAAGTGTACACTTTCAGTTCTAGAGGTGATTACTTTATTCCAAAGCAGTGTAAAATACACTCACTGAGCTACTACGTGTACCCTAAGCCCTAAACGCCTAAAGCCCTAAACGGCCCGAAACCTTACAGCGATGGTGCTCATGGACTTCACTGCAATGGCTCCCTAAATGCACCCGCAACAAACGACACGTTCTTACCTCCTGAACCCCAAAAAACCCTAAACCCGAAAGCCTAAACCCTAAAGTGCCCTAAAGCCTAAACCCCAAACCATCCCAACCCGAAAGCCTAAACCCTAAAGTGCCCTAAAGCCCAAACCCCAAAGCATCCTAAACCCTAAGCCTGAAGTGACCTAAAGTCTAAGCCATAAAAAATCCTAAACTCTAAGGTGCCCTAAAGCCTAAACCCTAAACCATCCTAAACCCTAAAGTGCCCTTAGGCGGAACCCCAAACCATCCCCCTAAAGTGTCTTAAAGCCTAAACTCGAAAGCCTGAGCCCTAAACCCTCAATACAGCATATCCGAGCTTTAGGCTCTTTAGCGTAATATAGGGTCATCAATAATTAGAATAGGGTTTTGAGGTATATTATACTATAATACTTCATAAGGAACCCCATCATGATGTAGGTCCTTATTCAGGCCCCTACATTAAATCTGAAGCGTTCTGGTCCAACTCCACACCCGAAATCCCCCTCAAACTCCCAACTCTGAAATCCCAAACCCTAAACCCTTGAGTAGAAAAAATCCCCCAAAGCCCTCAACCCCAACTCAAAATCCCGAAGCCGAACCGGGCCTAATATAGGGGCCTCAATACTTACCAGTACTATTTTGGAGGCTCCTTAATAGAATTATTATGCCATAAAGGACCCCAGAACCCTACGTTATCTATTAACTCAGGAACCCTAAACCCTAAACCCTACATTAACCTAAACCGACCCCCGAATACGATCAGCTGCCCATCTCCGGCCTACCGCTGGAGGCAGCTGCAGATTCTCCGGCTGCTGTCTGAGCTGTTGGCTCCGGCCTTTGTCTGTCTTTGGGGGTTTAGGGTTTAGGGATTTAGGGTTTAGGGGTTCAGGGGTTTAGGGGTCTAGGGTTCAGGGTTTCGGGTTTAGGGTGGCTGTCTTTGGTGTTCGGCTTTTCGGGCTTGTAGAAATTGTGTAATCTAGGGGCCTTAATCATTAGAATAGGGTTTGGGTGCATATTACGCTATAGTTAGAATCAGAATAAGGAACCCCAAAATAGTATAGGCAATTAATTAGGCCCCTACAGTAGGATTCGGGCCCGGGTTCGCATGGCTTTGTTTAACTTCTGGGCCGGATTGCTTTGGTGCTTTCTGCCTGCCCTCTACACCCCTGGCCCCTTGCCTTTTCCGATAAACCCTAAATACCTGCATCCTGCTACTGCGTTAGGTTTTGCGGTTTGAAGTCAGCGGGAGTCCTGAATCCTGAACCGTCAGTAGCTAAGCAGCCGCTGAATGCGGACGCGTGATCTTCAACACCACCCGTCTTTAACGGTCTCAAAATTGGGACCCCTACTACGAAGACCTCTATTCCTATCTCCCATACAAGAGGGAGCGGGTACACCAGCACTGCATGCAGCCCAACTTGGTTAGCGAAAGCTGTTTTGGCTCTATGATCCCTAAACCCTACAAACCCCTAAACCCTGTAAGCCCTAAACCCTAACTAAGATCCTACAGCCTTACAACTGGGGACTCTTGACACAAGCGGCGGCAACAGCATTCAGGAGTCTCCTCACAAGTTCAGAATGCAGATCCTACTCGCTCAACAGGACAACCAAAAGCATCGAAAGGCGTCACATACCTAACCGGTCGTAAACACTAAAACCTTAAAGGCCACAAACCAGACCCTAAACACACCAGCTGGCCTACCTTGCCATTCTCCCCCAGAGCCCTAAACCCAATACATATTCAACCAAGCAAGCGGCTCCCAGAAAGCCCTTGAAGCCCGTCAGCACGCGATCAAGCTTCACACAAAAGCCCCTTCGAAACCCAATCGAACCCCAAAAGCAAGGCCAACAAAAGCCCTAAGACCCTAAGACTTTGGGGAAGGCCTCATAAACCAAGAATATTATTAAAAAGCAAAACCCCAAAGCCTGAACGTCGTTTTTACAAACCCCGAAGCTGCTAAAAAGTTCCAGAGAAACCCCCCTTGTAAGCTTACTCCAGAAGTCCCAAGCTACTGGTTGAGGGTTTAGGGGTTTAGGGTGTAGGGTTTCCGCCATCCCTATAGAAGCCCTCAGAGCAACCGATTTAGGTTTTAGAGTTTAGGATTTAAGGCTTTGCGTTTCAGGTTTTGAGGTCTTTGCTCTGGGGCTTTATGTTTTAGGGTTTAGGGTGTTAGGGTTAAGGGCTTTAGGGCTTGGGGTTTAGGGCAAGCCTTCTGCACTGCCAAAACCCTCCGCGCTCAGAACCGTAAACCCTAAACCCTACACCCCAAACCCCTAAACAATAAACCCCAAACCCCTAAACCCCAAACCCCTAAACCGCAAACCCCTAAACCCCCAAAACCCTCCACGCTCAGAAAAGAACTGCGGGAGGCCCGGCGGCAGCGGCCGATCCTGTGTCTTTGTGACCTTGGCCTGGTGAGCAAAGCGGTTTGTTGTTTTTGTTTATAGTGTAGAATTTAGGGTTTAGGGTTTAGGGCTTAGGGTTTAGGGCTTAGGGCTTAGGGTTTAGGGGTTTAGGGGTTCAGAGCTTAGGAGTTACGGGCTTTGGGGTAGATGGTCCTGTAAGAAAGTTTCAGGGTCATTGAGCCATATTAGAAGTGCTTATGATACTTAGGGCTTAGGGTAAACGATTTGTATGTAACTGTATTATTGTAAGTTGTTTGCAGTGCTCGGGCGTGACGTTGCGCTTCGGAATATGTCCACATGCATAGCATTAGTGCAGAAGACGTGGCTAAGACACAGATTCCTGAGATTAGCAGCCAGGAAAAGCCGTCAGGTAGAAAGAGAAGTGTAAAAACACACATAATATACTTCATTGCAAGATGGACATGCAGATGGTCGATGAAGCACGATAACTGTATGTTGGCATTAATTTGCTAGTTCGTGTATATGGAGCGGGATGTAAACACTTCAACGCTGCACAATTTGATAGAGCAGGGCTTGGCTGGGATAATACCATAACAACGGAGACGCTGACGAGGTTTTAGAAAGCATGTTAATCGAAAAAGAAAGCCGCTGGGACGAAACTGTTGCACCGTCACTCATTCCGTGTGAATATCAAACATCTGCTTAAGCTTGAATGAACAACAGATTGAGGTGTTGATGTTTGATGTCGGGGATAAGTTTATGCACAGCTTGTGCACGCAGTGGCGATTAACGGCAGGCAAGAAGGATACCAGCCTAAAAGACGGAATGTAAAAATAGGATCGGGGAAGAAACCGAACGTAGTTCATACTATATAATACAGATGATGATGATGATGATGATGATGATTATGATGCACTGTACAACGAAGCAACACACAAGTGATTGAATGACGAGAACATTGAACATCACACGATGAGGGCACACAGAGCTCCGCAAGAGGCTTCCAGCCAGAGCAACCAATATAGGGTTCTTACCAGTTACCAAAACTATTTTTTGGGTGGGTTCCTCAACGTAGATATAGCTTGTATTCGTATAATAAGCTATATACCCCCAAACCCAGATCTAAATATTAGTTCAGGCCCCTACATTAGCCAAGTCGGGTTGCCAACCTCGAGTGTAACATTTAGGGTGTCGAGTCATCATAGGCTTCCTATGGACTGGTTCCACAATTGCACGCGAGATTGCAATAACCGTGCTCTCCGCCGTTCCTGAGTGAGGCAACCTATGGCGTGTCGGGGTATCGGGCTCTCTAGGCAGAGCCAATCCCAAGATGATCCATCAAAATCTTGCGAAAAATCTCAGCAACATGCTACCCTTACTTCGAAGCCCCAGCATGGCGGTCTGAATGTACGTGTACTTGTATTCGGGACCAAATTCAGAACAATATACCCCGAAACCCTAGCCGGCTTTTGAAACCCATACCAAAAGCCCCCAAATCTAGGTCCCCTTGAATTGCAGGAGCAGGATCCTGCCTCCTCGCTGGAAGCTTCAGCACTTGCTTGGTACCTCCACAAACTACACCAAAAACCCTGAAGAACCCTAACCGGGTTTAGGGTTTAGGGTTTATGGTTTTTGTTTTAGGGATGAAACGAGGGCTTCTTAAGTTTAAGGATGCCAGCTCTTCAGTTGAGGGCTGAGGGAGTTTAGGGCTTGAGGGCTAAGGAGTTCAAGGGCTTTGGGTGTAATGTAGAAGCCTTAATAATTCGAGCAGGGTTTTGGGGTATACTATACTATAACTATAGTCAGGAACCCCCAACATAGTGTGGGTAATTATTTAGGTTCCTATGGTAGAACATAAGGATATCAGGTCTAGGGTTGCGGATGCAGGGCTTAGGATGCAAGTTGATGCAAGGGCTTCAGCTTCAGGGCCTGGGATGAAGGATTTGAGGAAATCAGAATTACGGTTAGAGTTTAGGGTTTAGGGTTTCGGGATCTAGGTTCGTAGGGATCCGGTTTTATTGCCAAATAATAAGAAGCTGCTACTCGGCACCTGCTTTGGTAGGGTTTTCCTGCAGTGCTAGGTTGGCCCTGGCTTTCATGCATTTAACCGCTTGAAAACGTCTTAGGGACGCAAACTTGTCTTCTACTCTCCTACAAACCGACGACATGTGTGCAATGTAATGTGACCTCGCATCCCTTTAGGATGAAAGTGAATGAAAGAATTAGTCCGGCCTCATCTCCCCCGCAAGCCACCCAACAATCCTTCCGATGCGAGGATCGGGGATATCAGGAATACCATGGACTTGTCCGGATTGAGGTTGAGCGTCGTCCTGGCCCAGTTCGCCGCCGCTTCTGTGTCCAGCGCGGCAAGCCGACCCAACCTCGCTTTGCTACCAAGGTGTAGACTGAAGAAGAAACCACACAAACTATCCATTACGCCAAGGTAAAACACTAGGATTTAGGGGTTGCGAGTTTTAGGGTTCGGGGTTGACGGTTAGGGATTACGTCTTCATAGCACGTTAGAGAACTCTTTCCTAGCCTTCCCGGATTGTCCTAACTCACAAATCCGGGCCTATATCCGGGAGTAACTTGGGAAGCTCCGAAGCCCCAAAGCCTACAACCCTAAAGCCCCAAGCTCTAATCCTAAACCCAACCCCTAAACCCTAAACCCTAACACCCAACCCTAAAGCCTCAAAACCCCATCTGAAATTCCAAAAAACCGTAACGACCTCAAGTTCAAGGGCCTGGGCCATTCTAGAATCCTGTAGGCGAGAGGGGGTGTTCAAGTGCGAGGGTCGGATTCTCAGTGGGCCAGGGTCTCAGAGTTTAGGTGTTAGGGTTTAGGTTCTAGGGTTTAGGGGCTCAGGTGCTATCTAGGGAATCTAGGGTTTAGAACACATGGTTTCGCCCTGCGTGTGCATGTGTCGAGACGCCAAGGGGCAATCCACAACCCCAGCGACGAAGCTAGCATGGTGACCCCAGAGGGTCCATATATACTACTAAAACCATAAAAAGATGGTCTTTCCTAATCCTATAATGGTAATGTATATGGACCCTCTGGATTCTTGTCTAGTATCCTAGGGGAACCAAAGGCTAACCTCTGGGATTATCTAGGGATTATAGTGCCACCAAAAGGCTAAAGGTTACCTACTCTACTACTAAGAACCCCTACATTGCGCCCTAAACTCCAAACCCTAAAACCAAAACCCACAACCCCCTAAACCCTAAACCCCTACATCCCTACTCAGCGGGTATGCATGGAAGGGCACTTCTCGCCCTGTGGGCGCGACGCCCCACTGCCCATGGCCTCAGCAAAGCTCCAGTTCGAGGGTGAAGGACTCCTTAAACCCTTAAACCCTAAAACCCTAAAACCCTAAACCCCCAAACCGTAAAGCCCTAAAACCCTAAGCCCTAAAGCCCTAAACCCCTAAAACCCTAAACCCTAAAAACCCTAAAACCCTAAAAGCCCTAAAACCGCAAGGGTTATTCAGGGGTTTAGGGCTGTATAGGCATATTCCAGGGTTCCACCCAAGGGTTTAGGGTTGCATAGGACTTCTTTTGGTCCTCTAAAGGTTCAGGGGTTCAGGGTTTAGGGTTTTGTAGGGTTTTATACGGTTTAGGGTTTAACCCTAAACCCTGAACCTTAAGACTGCAGTGAGACCTCGATGGTTGGGATTTAGGATCACCTGAACCCTAAACCCTAAAATTGCATTTATGGATCGGTATGGGTATTTGCTTCGGCTGTCTACGGGCGAGGAAGACCGATGCTACGAATCGTTTAGGTTTAGGGATTTAGGTGTTAGGGGTATCTGCGTTCCATGCATTCCTTTTGTGCGTTTCTTTACATTCTATCTTATCGAAAGGCGTCTGAAAATGAGGGAGGGGGGGTGTTATTCAGGGTTTTTTACTGGGGACTACGGTGGACCCAGGGGTTGGATTGCGTTTGGGGGCCTATGCAGTACTGTTGGGGCTTCCTTACATCCCCATGCTAACACCCAACTTGCAAATCTCATGTCACCAACAGTTCAACAAGGGAGCCCTATGCACTTTACATAAGCCCTACTTCGATAGCAAAAGCCTTGAAGAAAGCAATGTAGAACCTCGTAAGTCAACAAGTGGTGCATTCAAAGGACATAGGCCCTAACCCCTAAATCCTAAACTCCAACACGAACTCTTCTTCAGATGACAAGGTCCAACTCCGGACCCGAAACCCCTAAACCCTCAAGCGCTCAATCCGAAGGACCTCCCTAAACCCTTCACCCCTAACCCTTCAACCCTAAAACCCTAAAGCCCTAAAGCCCTAAAGCCCTAACCCCTAAACCCTAAACCCCCAAAGCCCTAGCCCCTAAACCCTAAACCGCCTACACCTTTAAGAGCCTGCTGAGGGCAGTGCGACAAACCATTCGGCTTGGCCGGACGGCTTGACACCGAGCAAGAGCTCTAATCGCGGCTGCAGAGTGTGGGGGTTCAGGGCGTAGAGCCTTTAGGGTTTAGGGTTTAGGGCCTTTAGGGTTTAGGGTTTAGGATCAGGGTTTCGGGTTTAGGGTTTAGGACTCACGGCCTCTAGGGTTAGGGTGGGTGTTTAGGGCTTGGGACTTTGGGTTTAGGATTTGGCTTAGAGCTAGGGTGGGCGTTTAGGGCTTGGGGCTTAGGGTTTAGGATTTGGTGGGTTTAAGGACGGGTTGTATACGGGTTGTACCCTGCACTGGGTCTAGTACAGTTGCAAGCCGGTGTGCGCGCTGGGGGTGCCGGGTCATGAAACCCAACAACTATCCGAAAAGCCCGCAGACCTGAATTGACATGAATATTGAGGTTTTAAGTTTAGGGCTTAGGGCTGAGGGAAATCATGTTCGAACCCCCTAGTCCGAGTCCTATCACATCTCCACGAGACGCCTCGACCCTAATCCCTAAACCCCAAGCCCCTAAACCTTCATCCCTGACCCCTCCACTGAAAACCCCAAGCTCAATGCCCCGAACCCTAATCCGGAGCATCCCGGGCCCGCTTCTTTCTCTCTACTCCCTTTCGCAGAGGCCCGGAAGGCTCTTAAGGAAGGATTTTGGGCTTTGGGATGCTTTATCTGCTCAAGGGTTACTGTAGTGGGCTTAGGGCTTAGGGTTTGTCTGTCTTTAAGGCTTAGGGCTTGTGGGGTTTAGGGTTTAGGGTTTTCGGGGTGCGTTTGGGGTTTAGGGGTTTAGGGGTTTCGGGTTTAGGGATTTAGGGGTTTAGGGGTTTAGGGGTTTAGGGGCTTAGCGGTTTACGGTTTAGGGTTCACGAGTCTGAATTACATAGTACAATCATACTAAGCCCCCACATCCCCGCCACTACCTGCTCGGTTGTAGGGCTTGGGGGGGTGCGTGCAAAGCTTAGGGTATCCGTGCTCAGGGTTTCGGATGGTCACAGTTTGGTAGGATGGTCGTATATGTAAACATATGTGTGCATAACTAGGGTAGGACAGGGATACCCTGAACCCTAACCCGACTAGGGTAGGACAGTAGTATAGCTAACTTTTTGTCGTATTTACGCCCACCATTCAGCTACTCAGATTGAGGGATTCACTGCTGCAGGTGTCGAGGCCGAAGTGAGGTTTGCGGAGACCATTAATGTTCTCCTTTAAGATGCCTTGGGCTCTCCGGATCGTGAGTCGACCGGTGGCACGCTGTGCCCTTGCCATTGAGCTTTGGCTTCAGGAATCAGTGCTACTGGTAGTTTTGCGATTAGAAACTATTGCTGGGTAGTTTGGCGAAAGCCTTCGGGATCTACAGAGATTCAGACGATGTTGGCAATGGGCTTGGGCTTGGGAAGGCACCTTCACAAACGCCCCAGTCGCAAACGTGCAAGTGAAACCACAGGAGCTCCTGCCAAGATCTTCCGTCGATCGAACCGTTGGCGAAACTCTAACTCCCAACAAACTTAAACCCTAAACCCCAAGCTCAAACCTACACAACTTAGCCCCACGCCCAAAACCCATAATACTAAACCCTAAGTTGTTCCGGGGTGGACTTGCCCGGAGAATACCTGCAAATACTCACCATGAGCAGATCATTGAAGGAATACATGAGCCGGAAAAGGCTTTAATGTTCAATTAACCACCATGTAGGGGTTTGTAGCATAGGGCCCCTACTTTCAATGGTCATTTGATCCTCAAGGAGTGAAGTCTTAAAAAGGCGGGCATGTCAGGATTTGCATGCTAGTTTAGAAGGGATTTGTCGCATTTCCAAAAGATCAGAATCAGATCGGGATATCTGAGTTTTTGAAAGCGGTTAGCTATCTTGTAGAGGCACCATACGGGACTTCTTGACAGGGGCTCCTCCGAATTTCATGCGAACTACTGCGGTCCACAGAAACTGAAAAGCAGGTCGATTGATGCTTTTCAGCTTAACTAGCTAGAGTATACTATAATTAGAATAAGGAACCCCCCAAAAAACAGTATACGTATTCATTAAGGCATCTCTTTTAGGGTTCAGGCCTTGGGGTTAAACGTGTTCAGGGTTTAGGGGTTGTAGAGCCTGGGGCTGGGTTCGGGCCATCTGTCAGCCATCAACTCGGAGCCTGATCTCTAGGGCTCAATACCCAAAATCCAAAAAACCCTAAACCCTAAACCCTGAACCCAACCCTAAACCCTAGACCCTTACTACACTTGTGCTACAAACAGCAGACTTCTTGTAGCACCTTCAGGCCCTGAACCTTTTGTGGTACATTATAATTAGTCTAATTAATTATAAGAAGGAACTTCAAGGAATAACATTAAGTAACCATTTAGTATGAGGCTTCTACATTATATGCAATATGACCGAAAACGAAGCCCCCAAGAGCGATGACCCCAACTTTGCAGGTTGAGGGGGAAGCGAATCCCCCGGCAGATGCGGGCTCTTTGGGCTAAGGGCTGGTCTCCGGTTTAGGGATCTTAGGTTTCAATTTAGGGGCCTTGCTAACTAGAATCTGGTTTGGGGGGTGCAATATCGCACAAACCACATGACGGTACTATTATAAGGGGAGACTATCGCTAATTTCTGAGAGCTTTATGCAGCCCCATATGAAACCCTCCTTTACAACGGCCTAAACGACAATATCCATCCCTCAATTGATACCTTCCTAACGGGAAGCAGGTTAGGAGCCAGGGGTCTTGGTGAAGATTCGGAGTTGACGGCGTTCTCACTGCTGGTGGCCGCCACGGGCTGTACATTTCTTGTCCATGCAGGTGCCGCGCGGCAGCGCTCAGGTCACTCTTTAGGGGTTTAGGGTTTAGGGTTTATGGGGTTCAAATACAGGGTTCCGGTTATGAGCTGCGGGGTTTTAGGGGCTTCCGAGTCTAGGGGTAGGGCTTGGGCCCTTAAGGGCTCTAGGGCTTTAGGGAGGCTTCGAGCCTCGAGGGTTCAGGGCTTCAGCACTTTGGGCTAAGACCTCTTTCAGGTGGTACCGGCACCACCCTCCTACCTGTTTAAGGAATCATCTATGGAATTTGCAATAAGGAGCCCCAAAAAGGTAGGCTTTTTCGGCTACAGGTAGGGCTTGTAGGGTTTTCGGCTATAGGGTCCCCTACTATTTCTTGAGGACTTACAAAGGGACCCTAATTTAGAGAGCTACCCAACATGTGTTCGGGTTCTGCGCTTTTTTGAGCGCGCCTTGAAGGACTTCGCCTTCCTGTCGCAGGGGCGAACGCTTCACAGGCTCTGGCAGTCATTGCTGCCCGGCGAGCTTGAAACGAGGTTCACGGCTTCGGGCCTTATATCAGGACCGTAATTATGGACATTAGAATAGAGAGAATGGGGTGTGCGGGGGATATACTTTAGTAACATATGGTATAAGGAGCCCCAATGAGCAGTATTGGTCATTCTGGTCTCCCGAAAGTACGGGAGTTTGACGGTTTAGGCCTTTCGGAAACCCTAAACCCCTAAACCCTAAACCGCCTTGGTCCCCTGGATTCGAAGGCCGGGGCTTCTGATCGAAACCCAAATACTATAACTATACGAAGGAACCACCAAAATAGTATTGGTAATTATCAAGGCCCCTATAACACCTGTGGAACCCGAAACCCCAAACCGTGGCCCAAAGCCTCTGAAGCCCCAAACTCTAAGCCGCAACCCTAAACGCCCAAAACAGAAACTTAGGAAGTGCAGCATGCTCAAAGGGCGAGGAGCCCTTTCGGATTCGCGGGTTCGGGTTCAGGGATCCATCGGGTTTATGGCTGTTTAGGGTTTAGGGCTTAGGGTTTTTGGGTACACGGTGTGGGAGCTGTAAGCTTCCAGGTTCTAAGCTATACAGATAAGAAAGAACCCCAAGAAATGATATAGATATAGGTATTCAGCTAAGCTTTTACATTCAACCGCCACGATACCCCATGTAGCCACCCGTAACCGTAAGAGTCAGAGGTTACAAGGTTAGTTACAAGGCTAAGTGCTAATGTAGGGCCATAATCATGATAATCGGATTTTGAGGCATATGATATTATTTTTAGAATAAGGGTCCCCAAAAATAGTATAGGTAATGGTTCAGGCCCCGGTAATTATGTGATGCCAGCCCTGAACCGGACAAGTGGGCCCACTGCCAACAGCTCCGCTCACATCAGCAGGCACTTCCCATCTGCTTTGCAGCCGCCGACGCCCACCTGGTGTAAGGGCCTTACTCATTACGTGGAAGAAGGTTTCAATGTAGATTATAGTCTACGTGTCGTCGAGAATACAGCCCCCAACACTAGAAGATTCAAGCAGCACACCCTAAACCCACAACCTCAACCAAAATCAACCCTAATTCCTATACATCTCAAAGTTAAACCCAAAAACCCTCAACACTAAACCCGGAATCCTTGACTACGACCATTCAACCGGCAAGTAGCCCTGAACTCAAGACCCCAAACCGAAGTCTTAAATCCTTTTCACTCTCCGCACACCGACAGCCGTCTAGCTCCCAAATAGCTTTCTTAGCCTTTTCGGCAGGTGGTCTGAGCTGCGGGTAGTAACAGGGGGGAGGTTCATACGATCTGCACAGCGTGTTCACAAAAATTCTCTCAACGTGCAGGAAGGTTTCTGCGAGTGTTTGTCCACCCTCACAACCCTGAACCCCCAACCCTAAAACCCTGAACCCTCATGAGGGCGTCGGACCCCTTTTGTGCTTTCTGGGATGAAGGCGAACTGAAGACTTGTGACTTTTCTATCGGAAAAGGACCCCGAGAATCCCGGGCCTGTTGAAACTTCACCATATTGGGGCCCTTATGATTCAACTACGCTGTTTTGAGGGCTCCAGAAGCACGAGGCCGCCCTGGTGTGGGGGCATATTATCTTGCTTGGTTGGGGAGCTACAGGTTAACCTGTGGGAATGCATAACAGGGATTATTGTCACTACCCCAAGAAGCTAAAAGTTGCCTAAACCCCTAAACCCTAAACCCTAAGCCCACCCAAACTCCTAAACCCCTAAACCCTGGACTGCACTGGCCTTGGGATCTGCTTCCTCCAGGGGCAGTGGCCGCTGCGTTGGGTCTGCGAGAGTGCTCGTCAGCGGCCGCGTCATGTCCTGGAGGGTTTGGCTTTCTTTGTCGGACAACGGGTCCTTGAGGCTTAGGGCTTAGGGTCTTTATAATGGGTCTTTAGGGTTTAGGGTCTTGATAATGGGTCTTTAGGGTTTAGCATCTCTTGGGAGTAATATTGGGGCCTTAATAATGAGAATAGGGGTTTTGGTGTTTTTATGCTATAACTATATATTCAGGAGCTTCCAGGGTTCGGGAGCTTTTCTTTTACGGTTGTTTCTAGAACATCTTTCAGGGTGTTGTAGGTGTTTTCGGGGGGGGGGGGGTTGGGCTTCAGGGTCTTTTGAAAACTTATAAGGTTAGGGTTTCTTAGATTTTGAGGTTTGTGGTTTACTGGGTTCTTGTCAATGAATTTCAAGTTACCACAATCAGGAAACCACAGTATCTACAGTAGATCCCGTTTATGGTAACTTAAACCTTAAACCCTGAAAGGAACCCTTATAATTCCTCAACTTTAGGGTAACTTAAGTTAGATGCTTAACAAAATCCCGGATGTAAAGTTCTCTTCATGGGAGCCCCGTCTGCAGAGCCAGAGCCCCAACTGCTTTCAATCCCTGTGCTTAGCTACAACAGAGCATCTTGCAAAGGTTAATGAGTACATTGTTTGGGGGTTTCGGGTTGAGGGTTTACGGTTTAGGGTTTCGGCGTTTAGTGGACTTGCAACATAACATAGGTGCCTTAACAAAGGAGGGAAACAACAAAGGTTACCATGATCTCTTGGAGGGCACTTCAAACAGGGCTTTGTTGGGCGTCTTGGCGTCTTTGTAAAAAAGCTGTGTAGTGTAACACCGCGTCTGTAAAAGCCACAGGGTCGAGACTGTCTACACCCTAAACCCTGAAGCCCAAACCGCTTTTTTGTAGGGTAGCTCACAGTAGGGTTCGGGGGTCCAAGGCGGTGGGCCCAGTAACCCCCTGGGTGATACGAACTTCAGTTATGTCCTGTTAGGCTTTCATAAGGAGACCCCAGCGACTGTGATGTCATCCAAGCTCCATATAACAGGGTCTCTATACCTCGGGGCCGAGCACCCTTGGCCCAAGAAACTCAACCTTTCAAGCTGTGCTAGGAGATGTTAGGACCCAGGAGTATGTGTATATATATATATACATATATATATATATATATAAGTTTGTATAAACACGAAAGGACGGTTAAAGGGTACCTACCCAGTCCCGAAATTACAGACGTTTCTGCAGGCTTCTTGGGGAGGTTTCCCCACCGCCCGGGTCCTCGGGATTGTAGTAGACATCCAAAGTCTCCTTGGCGGGGTGTGGGATTAAGGGTCCGGCGCTCTTTCGTGGGTGAAGTCGTGGGTACCACCCTTTCAGTGTCAATACTGCTTACCCTCCGCGCCGGTTAAAGCACAACTTCTAGCACAGATACAGACTCAAACGTGCATCTTAAAGCATGGGTTCTGCCTCACATGAACCGTACTACAGGCTCGAGGGTCTCGGGGAAGCCTGGGTCAGAGTCACTCAATAGATTGGGTTTACGGCTCCTGAGCTTGAGTTGCGTGGTCCAGGTAGGGGCTTCGCAGCATCGAAGGAACATGCCGTTCGTCATATTCATGATCCCTATAGTAACCCTTATAGACTTAAAGACCCTGAAAACTCTAAGCCCTAAACCCAGAACGAAGAGCAGCCAAAGTGCAATGGCCAGCCGCTCGTTGACCTTCGCCAGGCACATGCCCACCAAGTTCAACATCTCCTGAACGTCTGAGGGCTTCAGGTGTAGGGCTTAGGGGTTTAGAGTTTGGGTCGCTGGGTGTTGTGGGTTCTGCAGGGTTGTCTGTTTCTGTGAGCCTTAAACGGGAGGGTAGGTTTCTTTGGGTTGTTGAAGGGTATGTAGAGGTTCTGCGGCTTGCGGGCTTACCCGGCGACCCTGCATGTAATGTCCACAGAAACAGGACCCGAACACGAGGTATTTCGCAGTTCATGAAACCCATGTACTGATTTTCCCCACTTGCTCGGCTGCAGGGCTGTATGGTTTGAGGGTGGAGGGTTCAGAGGTTTCGGGCTTGAAAGTTCCGGGCGTGCATGGGCTGTAGGCTTCAGGGTTTGGGAGTTCGGGCTAATGAGCACCCATAAAGCCATCCATGCTCAGCACACCAGTACGCTTATACTCATGGTGACGATGGTTCCTGCTGTTCCTTGGGCTTGTTACGGTTAAAGGTTCAGGGGGCAAGTTGAAGCTGTCGATAAACGGCGCTTGGGCAACGAGGCGCATGTTGTCAGTGAGATCCAAATCCGGAACACTTCCAGGTCTCAGGGTATGGGGTTCTGAAACAAGACCAACTTTAAACAAAACAACGAATTGGCATGGATCCTGAACACTGACACCGGTGGCGACAAAACTTGCAGCCCTTGCCTTTAAAGAAGTAGCCAACGCCAGTTTCAGGAAGTCCGCAAAAAAAACATGGGTTTCCATGATGTTTTAAGGCTCGGGGAAGGGATTCAACAAGAAAATATTAATTGATCAACTAATAAACTTCACAAAACACACAATCTGATAAGTAACAACTGTAATTGACATAACAAGTCGGGAATAGGTATGACAGACAAGGGAGTTCTGGGTTCGGGGTGAAACCACCAACTCAAGCGGCACTATGCTCAAGTCGACGGTTTAGAGTTTAGAGCAAGCTCGTTTAGAGTTTAGAGACGGAATTACGTGTTGACGGCGAGGCCAAAGTAGTAGTCACGTCTAAAATCCGCACCGGAGCTAACTATCTGCTACGAGACACTGCTGGGGCTGCTGTATGCGGCACTGACTTATAAGGGTGCTAACAAGCGTAGGCCGAAGAACCTTGGCTGGATTCGAGGAAATCAAGCAGTAAGCTTATGAAGCCCAAAAATGCCACAAAGCAAAGCCGACGATGCGGCCCTTAAAGTCGAAAACAACCAAGCCCAAGCCCTAAACCCCAAACCCAAAAACCTCAACCCTATGCTTGGCCGCAGACGCCGCTGCCTTTGTGCTTTCCGCCGGCCTCGCGTTGCAGTACTTTGTTCGAGCTTGATGCAAGGCTTTTGGTCACGGTTTTACAGGAGTTTAGTTTAGTCTTGTAAAAGGAGCTTTGTAGGATGTTAATTGTAAACGGCAGCTCCCACCAGCCCGTTTTCGGGTCTGCATTCCCCTCCAGGGTCCGGAGCATCGCAGGCAGCGTGTGCATTAGCATCGCCTCCGTGGCAAAAGGGTTGAGAATGTGGCTTGCTTCATCCGTCCGCGATCGGTGCAGAAAGAGCACGACATCCAGGTTTCGAGCAAAAAACTGCTCTCGAAGTCAAACCTTCACGGTCCCGACCTTCACGTCAAGATGAAGATGAGTCCATCCTCCCTCTCGAAGCGCATCCAGAGTCTTTTTGGTTCTGGGTAGTTCTTGTTTATCATGTACGTACCTAAGATCACAAAACGGAAAAAAAGGTCCAACTGGGAGACCAGCATACTCCTTGAACTACCAAGACCTACTTTGTTTGTAGGGCCCCTGTAAATTCTATGTGTACATGAAAAGCAGGTTCCGGTAGTTTGAGGCTCTGCTTAGTATAGTAGAGGCCTTATTAATTAGAGGTAGTTATTTCGGCATATTAGGATTGAGGCCCGTGGTTCGTCTGGAAAATGGCGGCAGGAAGGCCCTGTGCTCATCCACCATTCCACAGCGGCGGGTCCGATGCTTTTTTGTACCTGTTGTCCATCACCGAAAACCTTAAACCCTACAGAGCTAAGCTCTAAACCCCTAGTCCCACAACCCCCAGTCCCTTAAACCCTAAACACACTCACTCACTTGCAGAAGGGGAAGTCCCGAGCGAACCCTAAACCCCTAATCCCTAAACCGTGGAGACCTACAGCCCTCCATGTCAAGCCCTCAACCCTAAACGGGAAGCACCAGCTGGCCCAAGTCCTTGCTAAGCCTCCCCGATAGCCCCTTCGTAATAAGGATATCCTATTCCTGCTATTCGGCTTTAAGCAGGAGACCACCCTGACCCCGAAACCCTAAATCCTAAACACCCCCCCCTCAAAAAGTAGGAGCCTTATAATTAGAATAGAGCTTTGGGGGCTCACTATTACAATTTGATATATCATATCCCAAAACCCTTTTCCAAGTATTAAGTTTTCTGTAATACTACTGGGGAGACCTGGCTTTCATTGGCCGCCTCTTCGACAGGCTCTCCGGGCCTATGGCCACTTTGTCAACGAAGCTTCCGAAGCCCGAGCAAACTGACATAAGACCACTTCAGCATCCCGTATAAAACAATTTAAACCCTTAAAGCCCTATAAACTCTAAACCCTAACTCATTTAAACCACCAATAGAAACCCTGATGACTTAGCAATTAACCAACCGTAACATACATAACACACACACACACACCGACAAAGACGTGCCACTAGACCCTAAACCCAAGACTCAAAACCCAAACCCTAAAACAGGCCCTTAGGAAGAAGAGCCTTGTCGACGAAGGTCCCGCTGTACTTGCCAAAGTGCCGCCACTTGAAGAGGACGTTCGGAGGACCGGAGTAGACCTCATGCAAGGCGAAGCAGGGATTGCTGTAGGGGCCTTGATAATTAGAATCGGGTTTTCGGGATATATTATTATACTATACTTATAATCAGGAACACCCAAAACCCTATTCCAATTGTTAAGTCCACTACATTATGGGGTTTAGGAGTTTACGATAAATACCCTAAAGAAGATGAAGAGGTCAGCTACCCTGCTACTAAGACACTATTTAACAATTAATCCCCCACTGAAGGTGAAGAGGTCACCTACCCTACTACTAAGATGCGAATGGTGATCCAACAGTCTGAAGCTTCTCAGCCCCAAACCCCCCAAAAGGTCTAAACCTGCAACACGAAAAGCACAAACCATTAACTCATGTTTATATATGTATATATATATATATATACACACCTATCATATAGGTGCACACATAACAGCCCTCGGTGAGCCTTGGGACACCCCCCCGAAACCCACAACACCCGAACCCAGCAGTCAACATCGCCGAGCCTCCCCAAACCCCTGCACCCACAGACAAAAAACAACGAAACTAAACCCAAAACTTTGATCCCGAACCCCAAACCCTAAAACTTGAATCCTAAACCCCAAACCCTAGACCCTTGATCCTAACCCCCACACCCTAAACTGTAGACAGACCCCTTAATTATAGAAGCCTAACATTTGTAGGAACCTCAAGCCGATCCCTTCTTCTTTTACCTAAACCCTACACGCCAAACCCCAAGAACTCACTGCCAAACCCTAAACCCTGAATCCTAAACCCTAAATCCTAAACCCTAAACCCTAAATCCTAAACCCCAAGGGCGCCAAAACCACTTTCATGTTCTTTGCCGGACCTCTAAGATCTCCCAGGCGAATCCCTCCGGGAAGGCGTCGCCGAAGATCTGCGCATTGAAACGGGGCGTTAGAAGTTGAGGAAGTTAGAACTTAGGGGACTTAGGGGCTTTGGGGCTTGTTGAGATTGAGGAAGTTAGAACTTAAGGGCTTTGGGGCTTGAGATTGAGGAAGTTTGAGCTTAAGGGTTTTGGGGCTTTAGAAATTGAGGAAGTTAGAACTTAAGGGTTTTGGGGCTGTAGAAGTTAAGGAGGTTAGAACTTAAGGGTTTTGGGGTTTTCAAAGTTGAAGAAGTTAGAACTCACTTTCGGAATTTAGGATTTCAAGCTTTGGGAATCTTAGGGTTCAGGGTGACTTCGGTTTCAGCTAAAGGGTTTGTTGAGCTGAGGGTTCTCGAGTTCGGGGTTCTCAGGCTTGAGGGTTTAGGGTCTCAGGGCTCCAAGAACTTCTAGAGTTTAGGGTTTAGGGTTTCCAGGGCTTCTAAGGCTTAGGGTGGAGGGTTTAGGGCTTAAGGGCTCAGGCTCATGGCTCAGTTCTTGAACCCTTACACCCCTCGAGCCTGAGCCCAAGACCTGAAATGTAGTGGCATTTATGATTAGAATAGGACTTTGGGCCCCTTATAGTATAATTGTAAGAGGAACCCCCAAAATAGTAAAGGCAATCATTTATGCCCCTATGTTATTATTAACGCCTGCAAGTTTTATTTTTCTTGACCGGTCTTCCCGTATGGGTTTAAAGGGAGTTTGGGGTTTGGGATTCTGAAGATGTCGGAGTTGGCTTCACATAGGAACCCTAAACCCTAAACCCTAAACCCTAAGTTTAAGTTGGCTTCACATCGGAAATACATGGTCGAAGAGATCTCGCGGATGTTTTTTCGCGCGGATTGGCTCAAGGCCCTGGGCGTCAGGGTTTAGGAAGGGTTTTGCTGAATTTTGTCCTCGTGTGCGTGCTGCTGGGAGTTTAGAAACCTTTGAGTTGAGGGCATTACGGCTTACAGCAGGGTAGTTAAGGTTTGATGTTGTGCCTCTTCCTGGCGGAAGAATATGACCATCATCGACATCCACATTCTACCTGGTGCCACGGTGCTAGCAGTAGTACTGCTTATGTACTTTCTTGTTGCCTTGCGGTTACCGTTGGTTGTCGTCGCTGCCGTTGCCGTAGTCGAGCTGTCATAATTACCACTGCTACTAGTAGTCGGAGCCTGCGAAACGATCCCGCCTTATCAAATAATGGAAACTTCCAGAGCCCGCCTTGCGAGAGCCCTCGTGCGACACTGCGGCCTGCGAGTAGTCCTCAGGTTGCATTGATCTGCGCGCCTACTTATGCAAGCCTGTAGGCAAGTTGGCAAGCATGTATGTACGCATGCGCGCCATGTACGGTAAGTGGGATGTATTGTAAGGAATGGAAAGGAGGAGTGGAATGGAACAGAAGGGAGTGTAAAGGAGCATTTCGCAATGATGCGTAATAATGATGTGTAATGTAAAGGAATGTACTGGAGCGGAGTGGGATGGAATAAGGGTCTGATGGATTCTAATATTGAGTAATGGACGGTCATGTGTATATATATATATATATATATTTGCAATGTAGCGGAAGGTGACGGAATCTAACAGACTGCAAATGCGTGTGATGGAAGTTGATGGAATGTAATGTAACATGGAAAGATGCGGGATGCCATGAAGTGCAATCGAAGGTGCAGGTTTGCAACGAAATGTATTTGAAAGTGTCAGTTTACAGGAATATGACATGTAGTGGACTGACCCTAGGCCCTCAACCCTGTACCCTAAACCCTAAACCAACAACTGGGGTTCAAAGCGTGGAGTCAAACGCCAAACCTCGCCCAGGCTCGACTGTCTCCCCGACGAGCAGACTGGGGTGGCCAACGTCAGACCTTGTCTCGTAAAGATACGGTGAATTGGGGGAAAGGCGTTTTGGGTTTAGGGCTTAGGGTTTAGGGTTTAGGGTTCGGGAACATCCAAGGGCCGAAGAAGGGCCTCAAAAAAGCTTTGCATAGGGCCGCCATGGAGCTTGCAACAAAAATCAAAAGGATTCGTATAGTTTGCCACAGAGTTAATTTTATACACTTTTTAACTTCTTTATGTCACCATTTGTGTTTTCACGGCTTTCCTGAAGGCAACGGACCTTAACAATTCCTTTGTGGCTCTAAACAAGCTTCACTATCGAGTTCTAGGGTTTTAAGCATCTTCGACTAGCTGGCGTCCTCAAGGATGCTGAAATCCTTGCAGACGGAACAGTGCTTTCCATGCTGCACTCTGCACTGATAACATGGGGGCATTAAGAGCCTGAAGAGTTGGCATAACTAGGGCCGCTGGAGTATATCATACTGTCCTTCTACTAAGGAGCCCTGGCGAAATTTATGACTAGAGTCTAGACTAGAGTCATTCAAGCCCGTATATTCAGAAGAGGCCGTGACTAGCGGGACCCTAGCGAGAGTGTTGGGGTGCAATGCAATGCCAGAGGAGCCCATCGAGCTCCGCCTGGCCATGAGGTTTTTGGGGTTTAACAATGAGGCTTTAGGGATTAGTGTTTAGGGATACGAGTTTAGGGATGAGGGTTTAGAGGCGTGAGGCTTTGAAGGGGACTGGGTTTAGAGGTTGGGGTTTAGGGATCAGAGCTGCGCAATCACCGACCTGCAGAAGTGGAGATACGCCTTCTGCAGTGCGAGCCAATGCGAGGATGAAGGCAACTTATTTGCTCTCAGCGGTGTACTTTGGGTCTCTATAGGGTCCTACTTTCCCCAAGAAAACGAAATTAACAAGTACACTACGGTGTTGGCGTAACCTATGGCAACATAAAAACAAGTAAACAGGAACACTAAGGAATAGTATTGGCAGTTGTTCAAGTCCCTATGTTACTTGTTCTTTCTTGCGTGCCTTCATCCCACCTCAGCCCTAAACCCTAAACTCTAAAACCCTAAAACCCTAAACCCTAAATTCCGAAACCCCAAACCCTAAACCTGGAGCCCATGGAGTTGCAGCCGGAAGGCAGGAACTGAGCGTTGCAGGGGCAACCGCCATTCACCGCCAACTGCACCGGGTTTTCTTATGGGCATCAGGGCATTTAGAGCTTGGGTTAGCATTAGGGTTTAGGCGGTTTAGGTCAAGTTTAGGGCTAAACTTCACTTTGTTCTCATATACTGGCTTCTAGCTGAGGATCTATTTTTTTAGAATTACCATACTAAGGAGGCAGCGAGAAGATTATAAAGCCAGTGTGCTTTGTTAGTTCTGATCACTCCAGCTGGGTCCCTCGACACATTTTGAACAGTCCTTACAGCTCACCCAAAACCCAAAACCCTAGTCAAATCTATTCAGGGGCGTATGTTGGAAGTATCTATCCTAGCATCTTGCACAGGGTTTAGATTTAGGGTTTAGGATGCAACTTAGATCCCCAAACCGTAAAGCCACGCCACAACAACCCAACCACAAAGCATTCAACAACTCCGGTATTCACTGCGGAAGGACATAATATAGGGTCCTCCAGGAATAGACAATTTCGGGGGAAATGGTTGGGGCCCGGTGGGAAGATTCAAGACTGGCCAAAAAAAAGACCAATACTGGCCCCTACATTGGCCCTTGCCTTGAACTTTGCGGTGTCCATGGTCTTCCAGTTATGGACATCCTGGGCTGTATGTTCGAAGGTTCAATTCTTCGCAGCCGAGCTCTGACGCTGGCAAGGCTTGTTGTCGTTGTTGTTGCGCAGTACATGACGGTGGTGATGTTGACGATGACGACGGTGATGATGATGATGATGATGATGATGATGACGGCAGTGATTAAGATGATGATGGTGATGACGATGATAAAAATGATGATGACGATGAGGATGATAAACATGATGACGATGTTGTTGGTGATGGCGGCGATGGTCATGATGGTGATGATGGTGACGATGACGGTGGTGGTGACGATGGTGATGGGGATGGCGATGATAAAGTGATGTTTTTGGTGATGGCGATGGTGATAATTCTGACGGTGGTGATGCTGATGAAGATGATGGTGGCGATGAGGGTGATGGTGATCAAGAAGAAGAAGATGATGATGATGATGGTGACGCTGTAAGTGACTGTGATGAGGATGGTGATGACTATGATAATTATGATGATGACGGAAGTGGTGACCATGATGAGGATGATGATGATGGTGGTGACAACGATGATAAAAATGATGCTGGTGAGGAGGCGGAGGAGGAGGAGGACGATGCTGTCGGTGATGGCGGCGATGAAGATGGCGATGATGATAGTGATGTTGCTGGTGATGGCGGTGGTGATGTAGATGATAATGATGATGATGACGATGATGATGATGACAATCATGATGGGCGCGAGCTCACGAGCATCATCAGCAGCAGCATCATAACATCTTCGTCGTTGCCGTCATCATCATCATCATCACCACCATCATCATCACCATCATCTTCTTCTTCATCACCACCATCATCATCATCGAGACCACTGTCATGACAAGATGCGTATGTAGGACAAGTCCTGTGCATAGTGCTGTGGAGGAAGTGATTCATCTACCAGGCTGCTAGGGGCTATAGAATGCCATTTTGTCTTGCCCAGTTGAGCAGGCCAACCCTGTTGGCCTGACACAAAACTTGTGCTTGGCGAACAGAGAAGGGATCGATATGTAGATGGCAGCTCGAAGTGAATTCATCATCAGACGGGAGGAATACTCACTGTATAGCCCCATATATGGTAGGTTGGTTGCACTAGGATACAGCGTTAAATAACAATCCTATGAGCACTTGCAACGCCTTCGTAAGACCCTTTTCAAGTTCAGTAGACTTGTGAACTTGACCAGGCTCCGATTTGTCCAGCCAGAAGACCCCCTTTTAAAGCTCATGGGTTTAGGGTTTCGGGTTTAGGGTTCAGGTTTTCGGGCCCCTGAAATTGCTTAGCACGAAGCCGGCTAAGGAGGCGAGCCGCGGTAATGTGGAGTGATTCCACCTGCCAGTTCTTGACGAGCTTCTGGACCTCGGAGAAAGGGAGAGCCGGGGAAACTCAAGCACGCAAAGAACCCAAGAAACCCCAACAACTAGGGTTTAGGGTTTTAGGGTTTAGCGTTTTAGGGTTTAGGGTTTTAGGGTTTAGGGTTAGGGTTACGGAATGCTCCTCGAAGGTTCATTATACGGCTTTTCGCTAAACCAGCAACCCTACGCAATGCGTCATAATCATTACCGTTGACTGAATTTGGGAGACCGAGTACACTGTGCACCAGTTTGGGGGTGATGGGCTACAGGTGTGGTCGAAGGTTTGGGGGCTGTAGTACATATTCCGAGCCTAGACACTTAAACGGGAACTAGGGCTTAGGGCTTCGGGGTTTGGGTTTCAGAGCTTAGGGGTTTGGGATTTGAGGTTCCATGGCTTTTGGGGCTTAGAGTGTAGGGTTTTGGGGTGTAAGGGGCTGCAGCTCAAGGTTCGTGGCTTTAGAATCCCAAGAAATGGACCACTGAAAAAAGGCTCCATCTTGGTCTATGCGAGAGGGCTATGTCTGTGTTACATGGTAAGCTCTGACAGGTTCGGTGGTCAAAATCCCCGAAGAACCGTCACTTGACATGCTGCTTGCGCCTTGTGGTGGATCCTAGCTATGCAGATGCCAATAGCAACAAACAAATTTGACGAAACCTCCCGAAGAGCCTTGAACGGTCCCTAAACCCAATAAACTAGACCCTAAACCGTAAACCCACACCCCAAAACTCAAAACCCTAAACTCTAGACACCCTAAACCCCAAACCCATAACCCTAATATGGGGGCCTGAATAATTAGAATCGTGGGGCCCATTATACTTTTCTCATAACAAGGAACCCCAAAATAGTATAGGTAACTATTTAGGCCCCTACATTAACTCTAACTGCTGAACCCTAAACCGTGACACCCCAAAACTCAAAACCCTACACTCTACACACCCTAAACCCTAAACCCGTAGCCCTAACCGCTGAACCCTGGCAGGTCAGCCGAGCAGCCAAGGCTTCCAGGGAGCCTTCCTGGTGCGCCATGGTCCGGTGCTGGAAGTAGAGCTTGTTCACAGAGGCCTGTAAGTTCTTGTTTTTGTTCCCGAAAGCATCGCGAAGGGTTCTTCCGTGCGGAGCCCCGCAGAGAAAATACATAGAGAATACATGGGGTCAAGTACACTTGACTTTACGAACACTTGACTTTATGACATTTGACTTTACCACTTTACC